GAAACGCATCATTATACTCGAAATATATCCAAAAATATCATTCACCACGTCCCTCCTATATACACCGGTTCGTGCACCCATCGAGGAACTAATCCGCCGTAATAAGAACAACGTTCTCGCAAAAAGCCGAGTAACCTCTCATTAAGGAAAGTAGCTGCCCTCGAAAATGATATTGGGGCATCTGTACCGCGCGCGGTAGCCGAAATTAAAGCTCGTCAAAAATCGTCCGTTGCGGATCGCGGCGAGGTTTTTAATGCCGGTGCATCAAGCTGGGCGCGAAAGCACACGCGCGCGCGTAAAACAAAAGAGTCCCTCGACCGAGCGAGGGACCTTTTCTGAGGGGAGGGGGAGGGGGAGAGGGGGACCATTAGCTGCCCGCTTAATTTCGGCCGTTGTTCGACGCACGCATACGCGTGCATGTGTACGTACATGGACGTGGGCTGTCGCCGGCGACGGTGGCGAGAGCAGCACGCAGAAAAAGAAAACTGGCCGGGCCGTCGGTTGGCGTTTATCCCGCACGCGGACACTGCAATTACAGGCAAACATGGCGTTTACCGTGCCGCGAATCGCGAGATTATTAAATGTCATTAAACACCGCGTCGACAGGCGGGCCCAGGGCCGCGCGCGCTCATCCTCCTCGTTCCATTACGCGAGGAGGACGAAGCACCGGCGCAGCGGGGCTGTAATTACTCGCTCGGACGCCGTATTATCCTAATTGTCTAAACCTTATGGCGTATTAATATCGAGCTTCTCGATCGTGAGAGGCGGCCACCGCCGCGGATTATTATTTTCGTATCCGCGCGGCTGTTTCATTACAACGATCGCGTCGCATTTACCTCTCTCTTTCTCTCTCTCTCATTAACCTCGGTACGCTCGGTGGTGGAAAAATGAGCGTGACGACGCGATGCGACGCAGCGTTCACGGTCCACCCGAGACGGGAGACGTTTCAAACGGCCCTCGAAAGGACCACAAGAGGCAACAGGCCGAGGGAGAACAGTTCTGGTAATTGAATTTTGAATTACGATGCTCTCCCCGTACGAGTATTCAAATTTAATGTCTCGAATGCGGAGCGGCGCCCGAGAAACCAGAGAAAAAAAGAGAAGATCGTCGCCACGTCGCGCCTGTGTGTGTGTGTGTGTGCGATGCAACGTTTTAACCCGGTTGAACGAGCAAAGCGGCCGCTTCTCTCCCCGTATTCTCTTCACCGCGCCGCGTTTTGATTTAACAAACGGGCCGATTTAAGAAACGTCGTACTACAGGTATTTGTGCGTGCAACCGGAGCCTGTAATTACCGTTGGTTTATACGCGCGCCGCGAGATCGAAATGAAACGTATCGTAAACTGCTGCGTGCAACCGCGGTCGTTTCGCTGCACTTGGCGCTTTTTGCACGATCGTCGAGATATTCGACCGGCCGACTGTACAGAGTTAGAAGAAATGTGAAATCGCGGTCGCAAGCCGGTGTCAGGTTAATTCGATCGAAGAAGAAACAGGACTTGCGTTACTGAGAACAATTGCAGCCGTAATTCTTGCATCGCTCTACGATTTTCACGCCTGTGCGTATGTTTTCAATGGGCGTCGTAAAATCATTTTTCGTTTCGTTGAAACGAAAGCTGCGCGTTCACTTGTACTTGTTGTTCGCTAATCTAGGAATTTCCTTTCACGCGCGAAGAAGAGAACAAAATTACAAAGATTATCGACGGGCAGTTTATTGATGAGAGGATCATTGCCCGTTGTTTTCTCTTCTTTGGCAGAGGATCCGCGATCTTCTTCGTTGTTTGCGACCGAAGAAAGAGATCGTGATGGTGAAATAGTCGGTGTTGAGGTTGTTTTCGTGAAAACCTTCGGTACGATCGTATTATAATTGAGCCGGAGGAAGGTGTTTGCGGACTTCGGTTTAGAGTTCGCGGCTGTTATTTCAGTCCAGCAACGCGTATTGTTTACGACGAAGGTAAAACCAGAAGAAGAAATAATCAATGCGATCGTGCTCTTTGTACGAAAACAATTGTTGTTTCCTGTTCGAAGCGACTCGTTTCGCAACCGTTTCTTTCTCTTCTTTTTCTTTTTTTTT